CTAGGGCTTCGGGGGCACGCAGACCAGGCCTCTCTGGGCTACGGGCCTGGTCACCTGGGCTTTGAGCTTTGCTCCGCTCTTCGCTGTCAAACAGACTGCCTCGTGGGTGTGGGTTTGTGCCTGAAAACAGCTAAAACGTGGACCTGCGGGAGGGTACCCCACCTGATATCGGAATCAATAGACTTTCAGAGAAACCCAGAAAGATTCTAGATAGATGCGTTCCTTTTTCTTCAATGTGTTGTTTACTGTCTCTGGTTTTCGACGGTGGTTCGCACTGCTGGGAGGCAGGTAAGCGAAGGGTTCCCCAGTTGGCCTTCCAGCAGACAGCAGGCGGTGTGCTGGACAGAAAGCTAGCCTGAGAAACCAGCGTGGTGCTAACTAGCACGGCTCATGCTTTCATTTATTCGACACCTACTTACTGGACACCTACTAGGCACCAGGCCCTTTAGTGCTGAGGACACAGCAGTGGACAAGGCAGATGGGAGCTGCTGTGTCTGTGGGCCAGGGCGGGGGGGGGGACAGAAAATAAAGATGCACACAAGCAAGACCACAGTGGAGACCACTGAGTGCCCTCCACACAGCAGGGCAGGTGGTGGCATTTAGGCAAAGACCTGGGAGGACAGAAAAGGCCAGGCTGGCAGAGGCGGGGGAGTGAGTGCCTTCCAGGCAGAGGAAAGTTGAGTGCGAGACCCCTGAGGCCCAGAACAAAAACCCAGGTGGCTGGAGCAGGGGGTCATACAGGAGGAGGGCACAGCTGGAGAAGCAGGCAGGAGCACCATCCCGCATGGCCAAGGCAGGGGCTCGACTCTTACTCTAAAATCCACAGCAGGGGCGGGGGAGACCCCGCCTGATCTATTCCGCAACGGGCTGTTAGGTTGTTGCGGTGGATGTGTGGGGTGAAGGGAAAGAGAGCAATCCAGGCTGACTTCCAGGTGCAGGGCCAAGCGACGGGGCCCCCGGCGGTGCTGTTCGTTGACTGAGACGGGGAGGGTGGCGGTTTTAGAAAAATCAAGGACACAGAAGACACACCACGTCCACAGTTGATGCCGGAGAGAGAAGTCGGGGCTGCGCATGCGGTCTCACCCTTGGGATCAGATCGAGGAGCCCGGCAGAGAGAGCACATGGATGAGCACCCTGCAGTGGGAGCCATGTGGGAGAGCCAGCCTAGAGGGAGGGACGAGGAGAGGGGGAGGGGAGAAAACAGAACCTCCCCAGGGAGCATCCGCAAGCCCAAGACGGCTTAGGAGGCCTGCAAGATGAGGCAGAGAAGCGCGGTGTCTGCACAGGGCAAGATGGCTGTCACCAGCGACCTCCACAAGAGAGGTTTGGGTGCAGGAGGGTGGACAATTCACTTGACCTCCACGGGGCTGTTTCTTCTCTAAGTGGAGGAGGGCATTGAAATAGACGGTGCGTGAGGTCCCGGCCACTACCTCCCTGTGCCACATGCTTTCAAGGTGAAACAAAAACTCATAAAGTGATCACGAATAAGACAAAATGTAATAAAAGAGCCATGCTATTTGGGAATTTGTTAGTGAAACCAGTTTTGCAGTCCTTAGTACCCCTTTACCTAAAAACTGCTATGGCTTTTTATGTAAATTATTTCAAAACCAAGGAAACCGAGAAATAATAATTTCATAAATTAATTGAAATTTATGAAATTCAATTAATTTCATAAATTGAAATTTCAATTAATTTCATGTAGAAATAGAACAACTAGGGGCCAGAACTTTTCTTTGAGGACCCAAATTATATAAAGTATATCATCGAAATAGTACCCAGAGGTAAACCGTCACCGCTCCAGCAGAGGCCTTCGTGTGGCTTCCCTGTCGCCCTCGTCCTCACCGTCATCCGGTCGCGGTCCCACCGCCGTGGAGCCCTGAAAAATACCCTAAATCCTTCTCTTGCCCAGGGCACTTCCTATGGCTCCCTGTTGCCTATCGACTGTCCTCTTGAAGTGACTGAGTCTAGAGGTCGTCCCACTATTTGCGAACCTGTCTTTCTGGGATGAGCCTGGCACCAGCATGGAGACAGGCTCCGGGGCAGTCTGATAGGAGGCCTGTAGGCAGGGGAGGTGGAAGTTCCGGGTGACAGTTCCCGTCCTTGCTGCTGCTGCTAAAGCTGCCTCGAGGGCTGCCCTGCCTCCCTGCCGCGTCACCTGCCTGCAGAACTCCCAGCACTTCACCGCCAGGCTCACGTATACACACGATTTCCTTCCTCCAGCTGAAAAACACAAACCTGCAACAAGGAGCCAGTCATCCAAGGTCACTGGTCTAAAACAGAGCAGGGAAGGGTTTCCAAGACTCCCGGCTCCAGGTTTCCTCGCTTCCTTGCTTCCTTCCTTGGCGCTGATTGTCAAATGTGAACAGAACTGTGACTTACAAAGACAGGGAATAACTTCACAAAAGGAGAGGCCAGATAACTGAATGTGTTGGGATCCTGCCACGCCCTAAACCAGGGGTCCTCAAATTTTGATGTGGACTTGTTAAAGATGTTGAGCCAGGGTTTACCTGAGGCTTTTTTTTTTTAAGATTGCATTTATTTATTTTGAGAGAGAGGGGCAGGGAGGGAGACAGAGGGAGAGAAACAGTGATGTGAGAGAGAAACATCAGGGTTGCCCCTTGCGTGCTTCCAACCGAGGACTTGGCCTGCAACCCAGGTATGTGCCCTGACCAGGAATGGAACCGGCGACCTTGTGGTTCGCAAGCTGGTACTCAAGCCACTGAACCACACCAGCCAGGTTCCCTGAGACTTATTGACCCCCAGTTCCTAAGGTGGGGCATGAGTGATTTTTATGCACATCAAAGCTTCCGTACCACTGTCCTAAATAATTCTTACAGATTCACTGAGCTTGTCTTCAGTGTGTGTTGTGGGAGGAGGGGGGCAGATGTGGCTGTGTGGTGGGGTATTAGGCTCTGTAAGTAGGTGACAATAAATTACCACTGGAAAGTCACCTGAAACCACTCATAAGATACAGTAAAAATCTTTTTTTTCTTGGGAGAGGGCTATATAGTAGCAAGTAAATATAATGTGTAATACTTCCCTAATGTATAATATATGAGAAATGCATATGCAAAATAGGACTCTATATTATTTTGACCAATGCAGGAAAAGTAGACCTGCAAGTCGAATTTGAGTAAATTAAACACTCCCACCCTGTGGCTCAGTGACACAAGAACAAGACCACCTCCACTCCACGGAGGAGGAGGAGGAGGAGGCGGGGGCTCAGGCTGAGAGTTGCGCCCAAGGGGACTGCTGCGAGTGCTCGGTCTGAATTCAGACACAGCTCTCTGCTTCCGAAACCTGCCATCTCCTTCGTTTTCAGCATTTCCCTAAAGGGTCAAGTTCAGAAACAAAGGTTGTGGGCCACTGCTATTCCAAATCTCTAGTTTAGAAGACAATACGCTGACATGAAAGACTGGGAGCATAGACTCTCAGCAGAGTTAGACCAAAAGTGGCCAGCAAGGCTCTGGGCAGTGACGAGAGGTGATGGTCATCTCCTGCAGGAAGATGTCTGATCCGAACCTTTATTACTATAGGTCACTTAGGTGTTGCTCCAAGTTTTCTTCCCACCACAGTTACCTTTTCATCTTCATTTGAATGAAAAAGAAAGCCAGCCTTTCCGAGGGAACAGTCTTGTCTGCATAGTGGACAAAATATCAGGAAAGGCCACCTTCTTCACCGGAACGCTGCAATGCCCTGGGCCTGCAGTGGGAAGGTCACAGGTGCCCACTAACGGTGGGGGGGGGGAGCGGAAGCAGCCAGCTCCTGTGGCAGGTCAGGCATCACCAGGAGCCCCACAGTGTGCTAAGCCTTTTGCACACCTGATTCCACTGAATCCCCACAAACCTCCGTAGGAGGGTGTGCTACGAGTGTCCCCGGTCCGCACATCGGGGGAGTGTGGTGGTGCTTTGCCCCAAGTCAGTGGTCACTCTGTATAGGGGTAGACTTGAGCGCTTCTATGTGCTAGGCACTTTTCTAGGCATCTTACATGTTATCACCTCCTTTGATCCTCATAGCCACCCCATGACATAGGTGCCATAATTACACCACAGGCAGTCAGTGGTGAGCCCAGGAAAGGAGTCCCGCAGGTGCTCTGGTCTCAACCCTCAGTCTGCATCACAACCACCTTGAGGGAAGACAAAGGCTGCTGGGCCCCTCAGCCCAGAGTTTCTGATTCCTAGGTTTGGGGGAATTCCTGGAAATGGCTTTTTCTGCAAATTCCCAGGGGATGTGTGGCGCTCCCGGTTTGGGAAGCAGAACTCCAGACCAGCTCTCTGAAATCATGGTGCAGCAAACCCTATTGGCCACCGAAGTGCATGTGTTTTTTAAAATCCCTGAGAGCTACTTGCAAAAGTACTGAAAATAAGTCCTTGCATTTCTCCCTCTGGAGATTTTTGTTACAGCTCCAAAAATCTGGAGATTTTTGTTACACTGTGTGTCCTTAAACGAGAGTGTTCAGCGATACAACGTCCTCACGCTCCTGCCCTTCTGGGCCACTTCGGACCCGGCTGGCCGGCCACGTGCACTGGGACACAACTGCCAGATAAAGTCCAGCCCAGGCTCCGGGTTCTCAGAACCCCGCCTCGGTCCCGGCGCAAGGACAAAATGACCTGACCACGGGGGCAGCCGCACCCCAGAACGGCCCAGCACTTCCACTGTGGCCACCGGTCCTCCAGGTTTATTTACATTTTCTTGATTTCCCTCAGTCCAGATGGGGCAGGCAGTCTCACACTTTACACCTGCAATCAAATTCGGCAAAGTTCTCCAAGGGCAAAGGGACGGGCAGCGAAGAAGGAAAGGTCTTTACGTAGAAAAGAGGCTGCGGGGCGGGTGGGACAAGGAACGCGCCTCACTCCGGTCTCCGCGGCCCCCGGGGCGCTGGGCGGGGCAAGGCGGGGCGGGTGGGAGGCGGAGGGCGCCGGGGGCGTGGGCAGTGGCCGCAGCCATCTTGCGCGCGGGCGCACCTCGCAGGTCGGGCGGGCGGGGCGGTTAGGGGCGCGGCCCCAGGACCCCGCCCCTCCGGGGACACAAGGCTGCACCGGCCGCGGGCACACAGCGCCGACGCACCGAGAGCCGAGGAGCTCAGCAGACCTTTGCACGCTCCGTGGGTGAGCCGAGCGAGCGGCCCTAGTTGGCGGGCGGAGGGGTCGGTCCGGGCCGGGGGATTAGCGACGCGCGCTCCGCGGAGGGGACAGTGGCTGGGGCTCGACGACAGGTGTGGCTGGGCCGGCCTGGCGGAGGGGTGGACGGCGCCTGAGCCCCGGACTAGTGGTCCCTGAGGGGAGCAGGCCTTGGGGTCCCGGGGTCCCGGGGTGTGCGGCCCGTAGGGTCGCCGCCTGGCCCCCAGCGCACGGTTCCTTGGTTGGCCCCAGTGAGCGGCAGGTGAGGCTGAACCTGCCAGTGCGGTCGCGCCGGCTGCTCCGCGCGCCGCCGTCTTCTTTCCTCTGCCCCCTCGGGCCCCCCTCCCGAAGTGCCGGCGGAGCCCGGGCTGCGTGGACGCGCCCCTGTCCGCGTCCCTCCCGCCTCGCCGAGCCAGGCGGGGACAGTTTTTAAAAAGTGTTTCTCAAAGGCTTGACGGTTGTGGTTTCAGCCGTGGGGCAAACGGTTGCTTCACAAAGTGAAACTTGTTTCTACCGGGCTCCCCGCTGGCTTCCGGGAAGCCCCGAAAAGTGCCCGGTGGACCCTGGCCCGGCCGCCCCTGCGTCCCCGCGCCGCCCCGCCCGCGCTCGGCGCCCGGGCCTCCGACACTCCGGGTCCCGGGTCCTCGCGGCCCGGCCTGCGCGCGGTCCCCGCCGAGGCCCGCCGCCCGCGTCCCGGCGCCCCTCGGCGCGCGCCCGCCCGGGCCCGTCGTCACGGCAGATTGGGCGGTGACTCATCCCGAGCGCGCCGCCCGGCCCGCGGGTTCTTAAGCGGCAGCGCGCGGGGCGGGAGGACGGGGGCCGCCTGGGCGCTCTAACGCGTGCGCCTGCCTTCAGGTCCCGAGAGCAGAGCCGTCTCAGCTGCCGCTGGCGACTAGTGTTTCCTGAGAATTGAGGAAAACCCACCAGGAACCGAAAATGCCGAAACCAGTAAGTAACCCAGCCTCTGAGCTGGGTCGCACCTTCAGGCTCCATTTCCGAGCGGAGTTAACACCTGGGGGAGGTGTTGGGACAGCTCTTTGTAAACAGGGTTCTTTTTGAGCCGCCAAGACGGCGGGAGCAGATCGTTTTGTTCCTTGTTGGTCGTTTCGTGAACTCGAAGAAAACGCAATGGGGGTGCTTTTTCTTTTGCGAGTCCCCCCCCCACCCCCCGCCCCGATAGTTAGGGACTTTTATAAAAACCAGAATCCCCTACTACACCGCTTCTGTCTGTTTAAAAAGCGGATTCTAATGCAACTTGGTTCTTGAAAAGAAGGTTGTCCAAATCGCAGGGAGAGCCAGGTGGCTTCCGGTGACGCACACAGACTCCAGTCCCTGCAAGTGCCCTGGACAAATGCGCCCGGAATCTGCCTGTGGCACTTCTCAGGGCGTCTGGCGAAGGAAGCAGTGTTGTGGCCGGCACTCGGGCCGTTCCCCCGGCCTGCGAGGCGGTGCTCGGTCACTCCGGGAATTTGCTAGTGCAGCAGGATTCCTATCTCTCCTTGAGAGGGCTCGTCTTGGACCTGAAGTGCAGATGAGGGAGGGCAGCCCTGGAGTTCGATAAGGTGCCTCTTCCCCGGCCTCTCTCGGCGGCGCGCGCCTGCTGCATCCCATAAACATCAGCTAATTAAAGTGCTGCCTAGCCGCACCTGTCCCTGAATCTGAGCGTGTCGCGTCTCGGTGAGGTTGCCGGCCAGGCGGAAAGGTGTTTCGGCTTTCTTTCTAGTTATGGGAAGAAGGCAGGTCCTTTGTGCGGGGCATTTCTTAGAAAGTTGTGTCTTTAACACAGGGAAACTGGTGGCTAGATACTGGGGAGAGGATTTACAGTTTTTTAATTGAGTTTTGAGCCATGGTGGAGAAAATATCTGGATTCATTAAAAATTGCAATAAAAGATTCATATGGAATTTATTTCTAGCGTTACAAACAAGTTCTGTAGTTAGTGCTCGTGAACTTTTTCTACTGTTAAATGTTAGATTTTCTAAAAGGAGCTTTTAATTAATATTTTATTTTACTGTTAGGTTAAGTAAGTTACTGTATTAATATGCCAATAGAGGCAGAAGCTAATATAGTTTTTGCCTAAATTACATCATAAAGATGATTCATTCATGCTACAAAAAGTTCTTTTCCTGCACGACATTCTTTTTTTATTTATTTACTTTTAGTGATAGGGGAAGGAAGGGAGAAAAAGAGGGAGAGGGACCACAGTGTGCGAGAGATACATCCATGTGTTGCCTCCCACGTGCCCCCAAACTGCGGACCTGGCCCACAACCCAGACAGACATGTCTGGGTTGGAATTGGCTAGGAATTGAACTGGTGACCTTTCAGTTTGTGGGCTGTAGCTCAGTCCACTGAGTCACTCCAGCCAGCGCCCTACGCAAAATTCTTCATTTCAAACTTGCAAGGGGCACGTGACATCCAGGCTCTTTCCGATGAAACTGACCGGAACACAGGCCCTCACTCAGGGCCCAGGGCCCTGCATCCAGGCAGAGCTGGCCTCGGAGCAGGCCTGCCGGAAGCGTGGTTTTCTGCGTTTCCATAAGAGAAAAGGTGTGCGGTTCAGCATTTACGATCTCCCTCAGAAAAAAGTCAGCACGCCAGTTCCCATCCTACTTCTCTTTCTCATTTCTCACACTGAACCTGAATTTATTTTATTTTTCTGTTTTTATTGTAGTTAAATGTACCTATCGTCTTACCAAACGGAAACTCTGTACCTATTAAACACTGCCTCCCCTTTCCCCTCCCCCCTCTCCCCTGGGCCCCGGCAACCACCCTCTCCTTCCTGTCTCAGTGAGTTTGCCTGCCCAGGGACCTCAGTAAGGAGAGTCACAGTATTCGCCCTTTTGTGTCTGGCTCATTTCACTCAGCACGATGTCCTCAAGGTCCACCCAGCTTGTCGCATGTGTCGGAATGTCCTTCCTTTTCAAGGCTTTTTCTCCTGGTGGGTACATTTTAACTTCATTTTGCTTTCAAGGTCTTCGGTGATGGATCAGACACTTAGAAAATGTTTTTCTGGCAAAGCGAGGATGGTTGTTCAGTTGGTAAGAAGTGGGAGTCGCCATCACCCCATGTGTTAGGGTCCTGATAACCAGAACCCCATTTTGAAAGACTGATTTTATATAATGTCTACAGCTGTAATTTCAAAACAGTGTTGGGGAGCCCAGGCTGGGGAGCTCAGTTGACTAGAGTCACCCCAATACACTAAGGTTGTGGGTTCAACCCCCAGTCAGGGCACGTGCAAGAATCAACCAAGGAAAGTGTAAATGAGCAGGACAGCAAATTGATGTTTCTCACCCTCTGTCTCTCTAAAATCAAAGCAGTGTTGGAAGGTCGCCTTTTAGGTGAACCACTTGGGACAGTCCCACCTGCCTACTTTTTGGTGGTGTGGGAGCAAGAGAGAGAGACACACACACAGACAGACAGACATGTGCGCGCGTACACACACACAAAAGGAAGCCTTTCTTCATCTGAACTGAATTAGGGCCACCCCGCAGGGTGGCTCTTCCCTGCAGGTGGCCGAGAAGAGCCTGGGAACTTGCACACGCTGGATATGTCCCTCACAGAGGGGTCACTGATTCTTACTGTTCAAGCCCAAGCTGAGCATTTTGTCCGGCGGCTTCCGGTGGCCTGGGACTGACCACAGGGCTGAGCCGAGCACCCTGCCCCGCAAAGACAGGTGCATCCGAGTCCCTGGGGTTTGGAGCCTCCACCTGGCCCTGGAATGTGTAATAAGTGTTTTTGATTGATTTGTCTAAACTGAGTCAGTGGATGGCTTACTCATAAAACAGTATAAATGAAACGATATGTATTTGCTTTCTCCAAACACTGCTTTTCCAATCGCCGCTTGTTGGAAAGGCGGAGTGCTCGCTCGTCCAGCAAGGCACGGGGAGCCCGCACAGGTGGCCAGGCCACGTCTGCCCCGGCGGGGTGTGGTTTGCAGTCATGAGTCCCCCACCTGGGCTCTTGCTGAAACACGGGCTGTGGCACGGTGAAGAGGAAGCCCACCTGGTGGGGGAGAGGGTGGGCCTGGCTGAGAGTAACTCTTCAGCTGAGTCTTGCCTGGGCCCCTGGGAAGGGACTGCTGGGCCCAGTGGCTGGCCTTGCCTTGCCTTTCCCCAGCTGCCTGGAGGCAGGACTCCTGCATGACTGGTAGAGGCCAGGGAGGCCAGCTGGAGGGCCAGCAGCCCCCACACCCGCTGCTCCTCGCAGCTCCCTGCCCCTGGGGAGCCGCTGGGGGTTGGTGTCCAGGTTCCCGGCTCACAGGAAGCAGCCTTTGTGCTCACATTCAGCCGAGGGTGATCCGCGGCGCTCCTTCCCCCTCCTCCCGTCCCCCCACTTGCTGTCTTCATTGTAATGGAAAGGCGGTGCGGGCATTAGAAAGGGAAACCTCTGCCATCCAGCGTGGGCCTGGAAAGGGGGACACGGCAAGCCCCCAGCTCTGAAAGCTCCTCTGAGGAGCTGAGGGCTGAACTGCCTCGAAGCGGCCCCAGCGGGACGGGGCCCCAACCTCTCATTCCTAAAGTGTTGGTGTGGAAGTTTCTAATAAAAAAGTACATTTTCCCTTCAGAGAGACACTCGGGAAGTGCATTCAAAATTCTGGCCCATGCCAAAACTTTCAAATAATTTCTGAGCTCGCCTTGGCTCTCTGGGAATACACAGCCTTTTCCTCGACAAGGTAACAGGGTCGGAGCTTGCTGAGTGTGCCGCCGGTCTGGCCTCCGCCCTCCCACCCGTGGAGGGGAACACATTGCATCTGTGTTCTGTCCGCCCTCCTCCTCCAACATGGGCTGAGCGCCAGGTAGGTAGCTAAGACTTTCCCATGTGGCGGTGGGAAGTGCTGGCTGGGGTTAGTCATTTGTCCTCGTCACACTGTAGGGCACAATGAGTCTGTCTGTCCATTCCCTCATTAGTTCAGGGAGTGCTGACCCCCATCCATCACTGTGCTAGGTGTTGAGGCTGCCGAGATGGGCAGGCACTGAAACAGCTCCCCCCACCTCTTCACGGTGGACTTACACTGCAGGGGGGGGGCAATGGTAATCACTGGTGACTTGGGTCTGTAATGATGTGCGCTGGCCACAGTTGGGGGCAGTGCTGGCCAGGGAGGTGAGGGAGGCCCCAAGGAGGAGATGGCTGTGCTGAGCAATGTGGAGAATGAAGGCGCCTTTGCTAGTGGAGGAGGAGGCGGCAGAGGCGGGGACTGGGCCAGGCTGGGGGCGGCCTCTGCAGGGGCCCCGTGGGCGAGGGAGTAGGCCGAGTTCAGGGTTCCCAATGAAGGCCAGCATGGAGAGAGAGGACAATGGAGGCCAGTCAGGCAGAACCTTCCTCGTGGGCTGTAGCCGGCCGTATCTGGGGCTCACCTCCAGGGGAGGCAGCGGAAGGAGGGGACGTGACCGGATCTCCCTTTGGCAAGGTCACCGCAGCCGCAGTGTGGGAGTCTGCAGGAGGCAGGGCGCCAGGGGTGGGGATGGTGGACCACGGGGGCGGCCCTGGGTGGTGGTGGTGGGGCAGGCGGAGAGATGTGGATGCGTGTGGGAGGTGAACTTGCTGGGCGCGGTGATGGGCGGGTGGGCGGACGGGCGGTGTCGGCCTGACTCCCGGTGTCTGGCTTGCATAACTGAACGGCTGGTGGTGCCATTCACTGAGATAAGGCACCTGGAGAAGGACCAGGCGTGGGAGGGAAGGCGGAGGGTTTGGTTTGTACATTTGTAACTGCCGCTGATGACAGAAGCCCTTGGCCTTTTTTCATTATTGTAACCACTGCCTCCCAAAAGGTACACAAACACCAGACTTTTGAAACTGCAGCATAAGTTTAATCCACGTAACGAAAAGTAATCAGCAGCTTCTTAGGTTTCTCCTGAGTGTGTGGACACACACACACACACACACACACACACACACACACATTCGAAAGTTAGGGTTGAGCCAGTGCGGTGCTCTTAACCTTGGGTGGCC